ATTGTGGCCGTGTTCATATATATATTTTTTGTTTTTTATTATTAATTCTATTATTTTTTAGCGTTTTTTCAAGTGTGGATATGGTTATTATAGTTGTATTTTGTGGATAGAATTTACTAAGTCTCTCTGTGTTTAAACGGCATCTAATTGAGCTATGGCCATAGAGATGTAACGTGTGACTTCATGATATAAGTCATCTGTGCAATATAATTATTCATAAATTTGGTTTGATCAGGAGCCTAGTTCCCGAAAAACATGTAACTTCAGAAATAGTATTGATTCTCTAATTTGCATCGTGCAGGTCAGTTGCCGTTGATAATGATGTTTTAAATTTTTATAGTAGACACTTTAATTTCCATTTTCTTGTCGCTTGACATAATATATATATATATATATATATATATATATATATATATATATATATGTGTGTGTGTGTGTGTGTGTGTGTGTGTATTGAATTTATTATAATTTTATTTTAGTTGAATCAAATAGTTTCCCTAACATGTAAATCATTTTATCATAAATTATAATTTGAATTATGTGTATTTCATGATTTTCTCTAACTATATGTGACGCATTTTATTACAAGGACTTTCTTTTTTATTATTCTTGCTTCGTTATATTTGTCATTTATTTGAAGATTTTCCTATGCCTAAATCTCATTGATTTGTTCACGATATTTATTTTCAAATTTTATAAACAATCTTTAGCATTTGTAAGAAATAAGTTTGCAATGGTAACGAGTTTATTCCTCAATTTCTTTACCGCCTCATTCTCATCATATCTATCTATCTATCTATCTATCTATCTATCACACTCTATTCATATATTTCTATCTATCTCGGTATATTCAAATCTATGTGACACCATTTACCAGGAAGAAAAGAAAAGAAAGGAAAAAGAGAAAGGAAAGAAAGGAAAAGAGAGGCGAGACTTAAGCTTAGATGATAAAAGAAGCCACCCACGACCGGGGACATTGACAATGTTATTTTGATAAGTCGCAAATGGTGAAAGGTCTCATTACCATCGCAGAAAAATTCTAAATGGATAAGAAAATCGACTATGTTCTGGTGGCGAACTTGTGTTATAGGGGATAGATAACAGCCGCTTAATGCTAGCGAACATCTAATTGGCAAACCACAGACCGGCTAGCTAAGAACTCCAATTGACAATGTTATTTTGATAATTGTCAAAAAAACAGGTGAAATACAGGGCTTTGGATAGATAAGAAAAATTAACTGTGTCAGAAGGGGCAAACAATATTGTCGGGAAAGGATTTAATAGGTCGTCTGCTAACCGCACACGAAGCCAACCCTGAGTCACGACATGGACGTTTTTGACAATACATCTATAGGTGTTAGAATTCGGTTGTGATAACAAAACTATGTTATCAGAAATTGGCACCAAGAATGACTAGAACAATGGAACTGTTTTTTCGAGACGACGGTCGACTGTGTTTTTCTGGATGACCACCCATTCTGATAATTGGCGAAAATCTGACTGACGAAGTCCAGATGAGAATAGAGGCTATCACACTACTGGTCGCATTGTTCTGTTGGCAGCCAGAGAAGATGAGAGCTGCGATTAAGGAAAGAAAAGGAAAAGAAAAAGATTTTTTTTTTTTTTGAGCAAGATATATTTTTTTTTCTTCCTAAAACAAAGCCAGCTGGATCACACACACCCGGCTGGACGCGATTGGCCGAATGATAACGAGGGCCAGGCGGAGGTGATCACGTGACGCAGGGAGGGAAGCCGCCGCCGCCCATTTAGAGGATAGGTATAAGAAGTTGCTACAAGGAAGTGGGGAGAACCGTTGACGCCTCTCTGAGGTGTGGTGAGATATCCATTTGAGAATAAGAGAAGGTGGGAGTAATAGAAGACTTCCAAAAATGGAAAGGAGTGGAAAATTCCTAACCAAAAATAAAAGAAGTAGATATGGACTTGGAATTATCGAGGAACCTCCAACCCCGACAAACCCACCCCGGGTTTTGGTCGGCGACCATATAAGCAAAGTCGCAGCGAGCGAAGATCAGCAGAGAAGAGTTTCCCGGAGAGTTCAGCAGAGAAGAGTGTTCAGTTGAAGCAGGCCTCGCAGCTGACTAAGATTCGCGCAACTTCCGAACTCATATTCAATCCAAGAACAATTTATTTTGAAGAGCGACTTAGATCCATACCACCAAAATAAGTTTTTCGACTTTCGCCTGAAGACACACCAAGAACCAATTTCTTAAAGAACAGACAACTTAAAGTGTTAAAATTCGCCTAACAAAAAACAACGTGTCACAATCCATATAATGGGTCGGGAGATAGACGCAGTCCTATGTATCCAGCAACTAGATATAAAGTATTGTTATCCTTTTGTTGATACCTTGAACTTTTGAGTTATCATTTTCTTTTCTTTTTATGCATATTTGTGTGATACCACCCTCGTTTGAACTCAATTTGCATTACGGCCCCGACGACTGATTGATTTCGTCTGCTTAAGATCAATTCACAACGTGGGTAGGCGGACTGGAGATCAACGCAGTTACTTTGGTAACCAGACGTTGGAAGCGAGTTGGGAACGACGAGGCTGATATCGAATCTAACCAGATTCCCATCCGAATCGCCAAAAGGTTAGAACTTCACATTTGGGTGCCGCGACCAATACCAAGCCAGTTGATCGTCACAGGACGGGACAACACGACTGACGCAGACAGGCAGACGTCACGTTGGAGCGGCGACACCCGAACGAAGCAGCGAGAGAGAGAAGGCTGTGTTGAGGGACGTCACATCTATCTATCTATCTATCTATCTATCTATCTATCTATCTATCTATCTATCTATTTACGGTCTGTACACTTCTATCTATCTTTCATGGTCCGTTCATATATATCTAACTAGCAGCTGTCAGCTGATAATTTTTAAGTAGATATCTTACGGATATTGCAGAAATAGATTTGACGATTATCAACTTTGGGAAGCGAACCTCACAAATCCCATGATCTTGACAAAGAGGGTCAGCTGAGTTCCCCTGACTTTATTAATCACCTTTTTAGACGAAAAATGACAGAATGCTGTTTCTCTATAAAACTGTGTTCCATAACCATCTAAAGAACTGAGAGACAGCTTGATCAGCACATTAAAAAGAAGACAGACGGTTAGACTCATCGCATATTCACCTCTTCCTACATTACCTTGCTTATCCACAACAGAAGATCACAACACAATAAAATTTAGCGACTGCTACAATCTCGTCTTATGATTTCATTTTGATCTGAACAAAAACTAATTCTCCATGTATTAAGCCACAAGCGTTCGACTGGAAGATGTTGTACACTGAGAACGAACCTGGTACCTGGTCTGAGCTGTCCGCTACACTTTGTTTATATATGTATGTTTCGTAGATGCATGTGTGAGATGTTCGTACTTGCGTTTATATTATATCTTAATTAAAATGAATGATATGTCAGAATTTTCGAGACTGACACGTATTTCTTGCTTACTCTATTTTCCGCTCTAAATATCCGCTTGCTGTTATAAATTTCTCTCTAATCATATTTCCCACCTTGGCACCGGTGTGCCATTTAATACCCAATTAATGCGTCATGACATTTCTTAGAATTCGACCTGGTCTATTCACACAAATATACGGATGAAATGTACCTTGAATTTCTCATCATATTTCATCTTATTTATTTTTCTGGCAAAGATCTTTGTTATCGCTTGTAACTTATCATTAACTTTTTTTCCGTCTGTTTTTATATCTATCAATCTTGCCGCTTACACCAACCAGACAACTAATTTGAATTTCAGTATTCCTCGAGAGTTCGTTTTTAATGAATCTCTGTAAAATATCAAGACAGACATAACTCTCTAGCTAGGGTTGGCAAAGTGTAATAGAAGGAAAAATTCTGAATTCAAAGATCCCGTTTTATGGCGCCATCGATATATTCATATATTTCACAGTGGCGCTATAATCTCAACCTAATCCGACCTACAACTGCTTCGATATATTATTATTATTATTATTATTTTCTTTGAATTCTGGCGTCTACACATTTCTTTCCGGGTCCCGCCCAGGGACCTAATGTTAGAAATGGCATCATGACACTTTCGACTGACAAAAAAAAATACATAGATAAAGCCCTTCGTAAACTGCAGGCTATACTTGTCAGAACAATTTTTGTATCTCTTTGAAGCATGGACTTCCAGGAATCCCTTCAATTAGTCTACTGGAATCTTTTCCAACCAGTTCTAGGGCTCCAAATTATTATTATTATTATTCTGACGCTCAACTTCTCGAGAGCAACTCTCTGCAGCTGTTCGGTCTCACGTTGTCTGCTGATCTAAGATGGAACAAATACATTGAGTCAATTGCTTCGTCCACCGCAAAGAAAAGTTGGCTCCCTGTGCCGCGCCAGGAAATTTTTCTCCCCGGAATCGATCCTTCAAATCTACAAATCAACCATTCGCCCTTCCATGGAGTAGTGCTGCCATATATGGTCTGGAGCACCTGTTTGCCTCGGGGTTCTTGATAAGATCCAGAGACGGATATGCAATATAATTGGCCCTGATCTGGCATCTCGTCTACAGTCACTCTCTCACAGACGCGCCGTCGCCTCTCTCTGTCTTTTCTACAAATACTTTCATGGTAATTGCTCCGATGAGCTGCTTTCGCTGGTTCCTAGACTTCATGAATTCAAGCGTCCTACGAGGCTGGCATCCCACTCTCACCCTTTCACTGCTGAAACTGTTAAATGTAGCAGTCTCTTCTACTCCAATTGCTTAATATATCGCACCTCTCGCCTGTGGAACTCCATTCTCTTTTCCCGTTTCCCTGAGAGCTATAATCTCCAACTATTCAAATGTAATGTCAATCGACAGCTCCAGTTGCCTTGATCTATCCACTATCCTTCTCCTCATCCTTTCCTCTATCACTCCTATCTGATCTTGCTCCAAATCTTCTGTAACCACTTGCTTGGGGTGAAATGCTTAAAAAGAAATCTAGATGTCTTGGC